TCCTCCTCCTCCTCCTCCTCCTCCTCCCCTCCTCCCCCTCCCCCTCCTCCCCCTCCTCCTCCTCCTCCCTCCTCCTCCTCCCTCCCTCCCTCCCTCCCTCCCTCCCTCCTCCTCCTCTCCCTCCCTCCCTCCCCCCTCTCCTACTCATGGTCGTGTTGGTGGAAAACCGCCACCGGGGGGAGCAATGCAGACCCAGACCCCCTCGGGCAATGCGAAAAGACCATGATGGGAGGTGCTGTTTGTTATTTTCGGCCTCTGGGGGCCCTTACCAGCCCTAGCTGGGAGCTTGCGCCGTTCCCAGAACCCCTCGGACAATGAACAAATCACGAAGGGAGGTTTTTTTTGCTACTTAGCACCCCGGAGATGCGGATAAGAGTGAGGGGGCAGTGGGGACGTCGGCAGTTTGCGAGACTCTGGAGAAGCCCGCCGCAGGCGCCGAAGTTTCACAAATGATTGAACGAGCCCGCCGCAGACGCCGAGTTTTCGTTGAACCAATGTGGATAGGTCGCGGGTGGGTCGCAAAACGCACACGGGTGGCAGTTGGGTCGCGGTTCGCTGTTCGGTCGCGGGTGGGTCGCGGGTGGGTTGCGGGTGGGTCGCCGAGTGGGTCGCGGGTGGGTCGCACGTGGGTCGCGGGTGGGTCGCAGGGTGGGTCGCGGGGTGGGTCGCGCGGTGGTTCGCGGGTTGGGTCAGGGGTGGGTCGCGGGGCGGGTCGCGGGGTGGGTCGCGGGGTGGGTCGCGGGTGGGGCGCGGGTGGGACGACGACAACAAACAGCAGCAGCAGCAGCAGCAGCAGCAGCAGCAGCAGCAGCAGCAGCAGCAACAGCAATAGCAACAACAACGCAACAAACAACTTCCTCACCACGGATCCGCTTTTCAGCCACGCACCCAGGGACAATGAACGACCTGTCGGCCCCCTCACTCTGATTCTCGAGACCGTCAAAGAACGACTCAGGATGAAGAACCGGTCCAGGGGAATGGGTCGAGACTTCCAGGGGTCGGCGCAATGAGAAAATTGTGGCGTCGGGAGTCTGGGGAAGAGGAAGAGGTGCCGATGCCGCTGCCCCCCCCTCGTCGCCACGGGCGGATCCGCCCAGGAGTCCTGCTCACAGCGCGCCCCGGGAGAGGTCCTCGGAGCAGGCTCAGGGGGGGAATGCGTCGACCCCCAGTCGCCCTCTGATCGCCGACAGGGGTCTGATAGCCCACTCCGCCTAGGAACGTGCGGAGTCGCTATCGGGGCCTGCCGCCAATCTATCGGCCAGTGCTCGAGCCAAACGGTGTTTGGGCGATTTCGTGGACCGTTTTCGTTTCGATTTCGCTTCGCGGCAAAGGCGGAACGAAGACAGAAGGAAGGAAAGTCGAACAAAAAACGAAAGCGAACAACACTGTTTAGCTCTAGCCCTGCCATCGTCGATGCATCGCCGATTCCAGGTCGATGTTTCCCACCCTGAGCTGGTGCCCCCCCCCCCAGTCTGTCCCCCCCTCAACTCAGGAGAGGAACAACACACAGACGCAATTAGTTGTCGATTCCCTAGAAAATATGGGAAAAGATGGGAAGTGGGGGGAAGACGAACAAAAATACAAAAATGGGTGAAAAAAAATGGGAATCCTTTTATTTGTGTGTATTTATTTGTGTGTCCTTGGGCCCCTTCATCAGCCCCCGCTCAGGCGGCGTTTCTTTTCTGGTTGTTCCGGCCTCCGCGGGTCCGCCGAGCGGCGAACTTGGCATGGGAGCGTGCCCGGGTGGGGCCCGGGAGGCGTTTGGGCACAGGCAGGGCACGGCCTAAACACAGGCGATCGCAAACATGGATCAAGGGGGCGTGGACTAGCGACGGGTCCCGTTCCCATACATCGCGGATTCCCGCCGCCGAACGAAAAGGCACCAGCCGCATTTTTGGGAGGGCACCTCCCCCGATCCATGGATTTGGCGACCGCGCGCCAAATCCATGGATCGCTAATCTATGTTTGTGAGTTTCCGATCATAGACGCACCCCTGCTTAGAAGGAGCGGGCCTTGTTTACAGATGTAGGCCGGCGCCTTCTAAGAAGCAGCCTGCTTCTAAGAAGCCTTCCCCCCTCCCCCTACCCCCTTGTGCGCGCTGCCAAGTGGGGCCCAGGAGGCGTTTGGGCACAGGCAGGGCACAGCCTAAACAGTGGTTTTGCGATATCGTTTTAACTTCGTTTTGCAGCAAGAGGCGGAAAGACAGCAGAACGAGAGAGAGCGAAAACAGCGCGACAACGTTAAACATTGTTTAGGTGGAGCCCTGGGTACAGATCTTGAGCGGGTCTCGCTGGGGGACGGAGGGGGATGTAGTGAGGGGATCGAGGTTCTAGTCGATCGATCGAGGATCGCTGCATTTGGACATCTTACGCTGGTTTGTATCATCGGGGTCACCCATGGTTGAAAGTGTAGAAAATGAATGATCCTAGACGTACTCAGCCACTTCTCCACGCGAGCCGAACACTTGCATGAACGCTCAATACGAAACAACACGTCGCCGGACATGCACCATCTGCGTTGCCCTCATCTCCGCCGTGCTTCCCACGAGCCAGCGAAAGTGGCGACCAGTGCGCAGCTCGCAGCCACCCAGGGAGCAGCGAGGACCCGTCTGGGTGCCCGTACTCCACTACTCCGCCGTGCCTCCCGGGAGCTCACGAACGTGGCGGCAGTTGCACATTTCGCAGCCACCCAGGGAGAAGCGAGGTCCCGTCTGGGTGCGCGTGGTCCCCCACTTCGTTGGACCTCCCGGGAGCCCACCAAAGTGGTGGCTGTTGTGCAGTTCGCAGCCATCCAGGGAGCAGCGAAGTACCGACTCCACTATACCTCCCACGAGCCCATGGAAGTCGTGATAATTGCGCAGTTGGCCACCCAAGGAGCTGCGAGGTCCCGTCTGTGTGCGCGTTGTCCCCGATTTAGTTGGACCTCCCAGGAGCCCACGACAAAGGCGCCAGTTGCACAGTTCGCAGCCACCAGGGAGCTGCGAGGTCTTGTCTGGGTGCGCGTGGCCCCCGAATCCGCCGTGCCTTCAAGGGGCCCGCGGAAGTGGCGCCAGCTGCGTAGATCACATTCCCCCAGGGAGCTGTGAGGTCCCGCCTGGGTCCGCATATTCTGCGTCTCCGCAGTGCCTCCCAGGGGCCAGCGAAAGCGGCGACAGTTGCACGGTTCGTAGCCATAGCAGCCAACCAGAGAACAGCGAGGTCCCATCTGGATGCGCGTTCCACGCTACTCCGCCGTGCCTCTCATGAGCCCACGGACGTGGCGGCAGTTGCGCAGTTCGCAGCCACTCAGGACGCTGCGTCTGGATGCGCATGGTCCCCGACTCCGTTGTGCCTCCCGGGGGCCCACTAAATTTGGGACAGTTGTGCAGTTCGCAGTCCCCCAGGGAGCAGGGAGGTCTTGTCTGGATCCGCGTGCTCCCCGACTCAGCTGTTCTTCCCAGGACTCCACGAAAGTAGCGCCAGCTTCGGAGTTCTCAGTCCCCCAGGGAGCTGTGAGGTCCCGCCTGGATCCGCGTACTCCCCGACTCCGCTGGACCTCCCCGGCTCCCAGGGTCCCACGAAAGCGGCGACACATGCGCAGTTTGCAGCGTCCCAAGGAGCAGCGAGGTCTCGTCTTGATTCATCAACGTATTCCGTTACAACGTCGTGCCTCCCATGAGCCCCCGAACGCAGCGCCAGTTGCGTAGTTCGCAGCCAGCCAGGGAGTTGCAGGGTCTCGTCTGGGTCCGCGTACTCCGCTGTGCCGCCGTGCCTCGTATTTGCCCACGGAAGTTGCGTCAGTTGCGCAGTTCGCATCCACCCAGGGAGTTGCGAGCTCCAGTCTGGGAGCGCCTACTCCGCCCTACAGCCGGGCAGTTTCACCCGCGAAGGATTACGAGTTCGGCACCCTGATAGGAACAACCATAGGTCAACCTTGGGGTGTCTGGGTCGGGATCGTGGTCGGGGTGAATTCCCTGCATCCTCTACTAAATCGGGGACACGTAAGACTCGAGTGCGCCGGAACTCGGGTTTGCTCGCGCTGTTCGTCGAGCTCGCCCGTATTTTGACGGTCCAGTGTTCGTGGGATGCTCGCAGCGGGAGCTCGCGTCAAATTTCAGATGGGTCCCGTCATTTTCATGATGGCCCGGTCAGGCCCCGAGTCCCCCGAACCCGAGTTTTACGTCTCCCTGATGAGTGAGCCCCAACGACGCTCCCCCCCGCCCTCGAAGTCGAGGACGAGGAGGTGATGATCGAGGAGGCTACGAGGCTCTTGAGCGTCCCTTAGGCTCCCGTGGGCCACATGGAGGCTTCTCGTCGCCAGATCTGGATCCGTCTCAGAATCTGCGCCTGAATGCGCTCTTGGACTGGTCACCTCTGTAGGTCGAGTCCATCGCGTCGTGAAATGATATAGACGCAAGGTTCTCGGACGCAATATTCTCAGCAGTCTTCGGGCTTCGGTGGCCATCGGCGGGCCCCAGGATCATCAGCATAATTCTGCGTGAGAAGCAAGTCCCAGTAAAGGTGTCGGTGCCACTAGAGTCTGACGATGTGCCCACTAGTCGCGGAAGGGGAGGAGACGTAGGAGTAGGAGGAGAGAAGGATGAGAGGAGAAAGCGAAGGAGAAAGGAGGATCATGGGGATGATGATGTTGTTGATGATGATGATGATGATGATGATGATGATGATGATGATGATGATGATGACGATGATGATGATGATGATGATGATGATGATGATGATGATGATGATGATGATGATGATGATGATGATGATGATGATGATGATGATGATGATGATGATGATGATGATGATGATGATGATGATGATGATGATGATGATGCTGATGATGATGATGATGATGATGATGATGATGATGATGATGATGATGATGATGATGATGATGATGATGATGATGATGATGGTGGTTTGGAGAAGGAGGAGGATGAGGAGGAGGAGGAGGAGGAGGAGTTTGATGAGGAAGCGAGTTCGGCTTCTTGGCGCCATCCACCAGCCCCTCTTGAGGGACTCTGCCGAAGCGGGATGGTGTGCGGGGGAGTGATCGGAGTGGGTCCGTCGGGAGCGGAACCAGTGACGGCGCAGCACGCTTGTTGGACGCGCGGGAGCGGAATGAGGGCGACGACGACGACGATGACGATAGGCGGATGTTGCGTAGAGGAGGAGGAGGAGAAGGAGGTGGAGGAGAGGGAGGGGGGGACTGAGCCTCAGCAGGAGGCGAAGGAGGAGGGGGAGGAGATCAGGGGTCATTTCGATTCTTCCGATTCGATTTGGTTCCATTTCGATCGATTCCGATTCCGATTCGATTCACATCGGATTCCGGTTTGGGATCCGATTTCTCAATGGAGGCCCCACCGATGTCTGCCGATTCATTGTTTCCAGAATTCTTTGCCGATTTCCGCCGGTCCGATTCATTTCGACCGCCGATTCGACTTGTCGATTCGATTCTGGGCTTTCCTGGGAGATAGTCAGGCCAGGAGGTAGGTGCTGGAGGAGGGCGACGACGAAGATGGTACGCTTGCCCCAGCTGGAGCGCCGAGTGATACCCTTCCTTCTCGATCCCCTTGCCTCTTTCGCATTCTCACTATCTCCGCTTTCCTCTCGCTGTCTGCTCGGTGTCTGTTTGTCGGCACACGCCTGCATGTTGTTGTCTGTCCGTGTCTCCCCATCCTTGTATCGTATATCTGTTCCGCTCTCCTCCGGGTATACGGTGGAGGCCCATGCCAAGAAACACCTTGCTCGCCTCCAGGGTGCCCTGGGTTTCTTGGGTTTCGATGGTTTTACGATGGAAAGCGTGACGCTCCCACTCCAAAAATCCATGGACGTCCTGGGGTCTCAGAGTCGGGTTTCTTGTGGAAGGGTTCTTGTGGTCGGGACCCTACTGTAGGTTCTAGGTAGAGCGCGCACTGGGTAAACATGAGGCGCGGTAAGGCTTTTGGCAGGGTGAGCCATGTGTGTACTCGCTCGCGCTGCATCACTGCGTCGTGGCCGGTATTGACCACTCTCTCTCTCACTCACTCTGTCTCCGTCTAGTTCTCGTTATCCGACTCTCTCTCTCTCTCCCCCCCCCATGTCGGATGGTCTGTCTCATTTTGTCGTCTTTTCTCTCTCTCTCTCTCTCCCCCCTCTCTGCCTCTCGCTCTCTCTCCCTCTCCCTCCCTCTCTCTCTCACTCTTTCTCTGCCTTTTTTTTCTCGTTATCCGACTCTCTCTCTCTCTTTCTCTTTTCTCTCGCCCTCCATCTTGTTGATGGCCTGTCTCGTTTTGTCTTCTCTCTCTCTCTCTCTCCCTCTCTCTCTCTGCTGATTTGGTGCGTGCTCGGTGCCCCCACCCTGCCGCCCGCCTCACAGATCGAACTACACCAGACCGAGCTATGTAATACTAGGATCCTCGGCTGATGTGCTTTCTGGTCGTCCAAGCGGCCTGGGTCACAGCAAGCATGCTCGTCATTTGAATCATCTAATTCCTGTTCGCTCCCGAGCTGTGGATATTGGAGAGGCCTTACGGCCGGTGCCGCCGACCCTGAACGACGACGACGACGACGATGTTGACGTGGGTCAGAGTCCTCAGGGATACTTCTTGGGGCCTCTTCGGAGCTCTCTCGGGGGCCTCTGGGTGGTAGTTTTTGGGCCTCTTGGGGAAGTCTTGGGAGCCTCTTGGGGGCCTGTTGGGAGGCCCCTGGGGGCTTCAGGCCGAGGGCCCGAAGTGTCCCTTCGGGTCCCCCGTCTGGACACTCTCTTGGAGCCTTCTTGGAGGCCTCATGGGCCATCTTGGAAGTATCTCGGGCCGTCTTGCAGCCTTCTTGGGTTGTTTAAGGCCTTCTTAGAGGCCTCTTGGGCTATCTTGGGGCGATCTTGGGGGCCTCTTGGGCCGTCTTGGAGTGTCGGGAAGCCGGAAAGGTGAGACTCCCACAATCTATCAAACTTTTGGGAAAATCAATGGTGCTTGCCTCTTGGGGTCCTCTGGGGAGAGTTCTAGGAGGTCTCTTGGGGCGTTTTTGAAACCCCTTGGGCCGTCTGGAAGCTACTTGGACGTCTTGGACCGATATTTTGGCGATTCAGGGCCCTCTTGGGAAAGGGTCAAAGTGAAGGGACTCCATTTCGACTCATCTACGACGTTGCTACTTCATTTCGATTTGGCTGGCGCGCTTGAGGATGAGGGCCCAGAGAAGTGGGGAGGGAGCGGCGACGGCGACGACGACGGCGACGACCGGAAGAGCGGCTTCCACACGCCGACGGGGTCGGCGGATATTTTGGGCGTCGCCATGGCCTTTCTAAGCTCGAGTTCAGGGTACTCTGCGGCGGCGCCGAAGCTACGGATGCGCCGCCATGGTGCGAGGCCCGGAGCCGAGCGTTTGGCAGAACCAGCCGATCGGTGAGAGTGCGATGGCCAGCGGACGTGCGTGAACCCGGATCGGCGGCGAGCCCAGGGGGGAGAGCGAGAGTGGGCAGGCCTTCTCGGGAGGCGGCGGGGCTTCTCGGGATCGAGGAACAGAAAGCGGTATAAACATCAACTTGTGGCGCTCCGCACGGATTTCTCGGATCCGCGCTGGGGCCCCCTGGCGGCGCCTCCGGCGCCGCCCCTGGCGCGCTCCACGCGCCAGGGCCAGCGCGAATCCACGAAACCCGCGGGGAGCGCCAAGAGGGTCTGTTTCTGCAGTTTTTCCCCACATGTTTCGTGGGGTTCTGGTTTTCTTCTCTGCCGCGCCACACCCGCGACACTAACACATCACCTCCCTCCTCCCCTCCTCCCCTTCCTCTCCTCCCCTCCTCTTCCCCTCCTCCACTTCCTCGACACCACAGGGGGTGCGCGAGGGGTGGTCTCCCTATCCGTGTTCGGCCTCGCAAAGCGTGGCAGGCGTGGCACTTCCTCGACACCACAGGGGGTGCGCGAGGGGTGGTCTCCATATCCGTGTTCGGCCTCGCAAAGCGTGGCAGGCGTGGCACTTCCTCGACACCACAGGGGGTGCGCGAGGGGTGGTCTCCATATCCGTGTTCGGCCTCGCAAAGCGTGGCAGGCGTGGCACTTCCTCGACACCACAGGGGGTGCGCGAGGGGTGGTCTCCATATCCGTGTTCGGCCTCGCAAAGCGTGGCAGGCGTGGCACTTCCTCGACACCACAGGGGGTGCGCGAGGGGTGGTCTCCATATCCGTGTTCGGCCTCGCAAAGCGTGGCAGGCGTGGCACTTCCTCGACACCACAGGGGGTGCGCGAGGGGTGGTCTCCATATCCGTGTTCGGCCTCGCAAAGCGTGGCAGGCGTGGCACTTCCTCGACACCACAGGGGGTGCGCGAGGGGTGGTCTCCATATCCGTTCGGCCTCGCAAAGCGTGGCAGGCGTGGCACTTCCTCGACACCACAGGGGGTGTGCTGGGGGTGGTCTCCCTATCCGTTTCGGCCTCGCAAAGCGTGGCAGGCGTGGCACTTCCTCGACAGCACAGGGGGTGCGCGAGGGGTGGTCTCCCTATCCGTTTCGGCCTCGCAAAGCGTGGTAGGCGTGGCACTTCCTCGACACCACAGGGGGTGCGCGAGGGGTGGTCTCCCTATCCGTGTTCGGCCTCGCAACGCGTGGCAGGCGTGGCACTTCCTCGACACCACAGGGGGTGCGCGAGGGGTGGTCTCGATATCCGTGTTCGGCCTCGCAAAGCGCGGCAGGCGTGACACTTCCTCGACACCACAGGGGGTGCGCTGGGGGTGGTCTCCCTATCCGTTTCGGCCTCGCAACGCTTGGCAGACGTGGCACTTCCTCGACACCACAGGGGGTGCGCGAGGGGTGGTCACCCTATTCTTTTGGGCCTCGCAACGCCTGTCAGGCATGGCTTCTCGTCGATACAGCAGAGGGTGCTCTGGGGTTGGTCTCCCTATACGTTTCGGCCTCGCAATGCGTGGTAGGCGTGGCACTTCCTCGATACCACAGGGGTGTGCGCTGGGGGTGGTCTCCCTATCCGTTTCGGCCTCGCAAAGCGTGGCAGGCGTGGCACTTCCTCGACACCACGGGGTGCGCGAGGGGCGGTCTCCCTATCCGTGTTCGGCCTCGCAACGCGTGGCAGGCGTGGCTTTTCCTCGACAGCACAGGGGGTGCGCGAGGGGTGGTCTCCATATCCGTGTTCGGCCTCGCAACGCGTGGCAGGCGTGGCACTTCCTCGACACCACAGGGGGTGCGCTGGGGGTGGTCTCCATATCCGTTTCGGCCTCGCAAAGCGTGGCAGGCGTGGCACTTTCTCGACACCACAGGGGGTGCGCTGGGGTTGGTCTCCCTATCCGTGTTCGGCCTCGCAAAGCGTGGCAGGTGTGGCCTTTCTTCGACACCACAGGGGGTGCGCGAGGGGTGGTCTCCCTATCCGTGTTCGGCCTCGCAAAGCGTGGCAGGCGTGGCACTTCCTCGACACCACAGGGGTGTGCGCTGGGGGTGGTCTCCCTATCCGTGTTCGGCCTCGCAAAGCGTGGCAGGCGTGGCACTTCCTAGACACCACAGGGGGTGCGATGGGGGTGGTCTCCCTATCCGTTTTGGCCTTGTAATTCGTGGTATGCGTGGCACTTCCTCGACACCACAGGGGGTGCAACGGGGGGGGTCTCCCTATCCGTGTTCGGCCTCGCAAAGCGTGGCAGGCGTGGCACTTACTCGACACCACAGGGGGTGCGCTGGGGGTGGTCACCCTATTCTTTTGGGCCTCGCAACGCGTGTCAGGCATGGCTTCTCGTCGACACAGCAGAGAGTGCTCTGGGGTTGGTCTCGCTATACGTTTCGGCCTCGCAATGCGTGGTAGGCGTGGCACTTCCTCGATACCACAGGGGTGTGCGCTGGGGGTGGTCTCCCTATCCGTTTCGGCCTCGCAAAGCGTGGCAGGCGTGGCACTTCCTCGACACCACAGGGGGTGCGCTGGGGGTGGTTTCCCTATCCGCTTCGGCCTCGCAAAGCGTGGCAGGCGTGGCACTTCCTCGACACCACAGTGGGTGCGCTGAGGGTGGTCTCCATATCCGTATTCGGCCGTCGCAAAGCGTGGCAGGCGTGGCTTCTCCTCGACACCACAGGGGGTGCGCTGGGGG